ACCAATTTGCCAACCGTCCACTTAACGCAGTAGGTAAGACTGTCAGTTAAATTTCTAGTTGAATATCAATGCAATGCTGGTTCGATTCGCAAAAATTATTTCTGTATGAAGATTATTTAAACGCCACTAAGATTACATAATATTTATAATTTGAATATATGGATCAATATATAACATTATATTTTTACTTTTCTGATAATGCTTTCTCCTGATGTGTGGCGTTTTCTCTAACTGTACGCAAGTGCATATCAACCCGTGTCCAAAAAATATCTGATGCATTTGTAACTATTTTGAAACAAAACCGGCAAATAAGAAAAGATACATAAGACAGCCAAATGTAATAGTACTTATATATATAACCATGATTCGACCATGAATATAACACTGAAACGTTCGCTCTGCCCTACTGCGCTATCAAGGCACATAAAAATCTAACGTTTTTACTTTGGGTTTTATTCATAAGGCATCAGCTTGCCTTACCCTTTTTATGGAAAGCCAAGGCTGTCTTATATTGTTCTTTTTTACTTTATTTAACCATTTGGATAATTTATAAGTTCGCTTCGACTATATATGAATTGAAAAAACACCTTCTAATTTAACCGGAATCCATTATGTTAATCCACAGCTACAATATATGAAACCATACCGTCAGTGTATGAAACTATTTAGCAATATATAAGTTGATTTTCTCGATATATGATTCCAGTTCTTCAATATATGGTACCAAAGTAGCCATGTATGGAACCAGATATCCTATTAAACCGAGTTATCACAAATATTAATTCATTTTTCAATATGTGAAACCAATGTATCAATTTATGAAACCAAAAGTAGAAATATATAAGTTGGTTATCACATTATATGATACCAATTCTTCAATATTATTGTACCAAAGTAGCCATATATGGAACTAGATTGTCCTAATATGAAACCGAATTTTTCAATATATTAATTCATTTTTACAATTTATGAAACCAATTTATCAATGTACGGAACTAAAGTAGCAATATATGACTTGATTATAACTTTATATGATACCAGTTCTTCAATATATGGTACAGAAAATGCCCCGATATTAATATTTTCAGCAGTTTTTTTTTTGGTTCAGAATGGGCATGAATGCTTAGATGACGACATATTACAACTTATTAAAGTCAGTGGTTTTAGTTAATATACATACATATATGTAAACGAAACAGTGAATTTGAGAGAAAAAGCCGTACGTGACCACGATCAAACCGATGGAAAATTCTCTCGCTTCGAATCTGGTGACGCGCATTTCAGATGAAGCACGGGACGAAACATCATGAAATGAAATAATGTGTGCCAGGAAAAAGAAGGTTGTTATATGTACTTTTTACATTAGAACATCACGAATTTCAGAGAAAAAAGGGAAAAACCTTTTTTGGCTGCATCCGCCATCTTGTTTGTTTGGGTTACGAACGGCGTGATCCTCCCCTTGTTATATATTGCTAAACTCGGTTTCATACACTGACGGTATGGTTTCATATATTGTAACTGTGTATTAACATGATGTATTCCGGTTAAATAAGGTGTTTTTCAATTCATATTTTAGTCGAAGTGAACTTATATATTATCCAAATGGTTAAATAAATTGGAAAAGAACAATATAAGACAGCCATGGCTTTCCATATTTTTTTCGCTCTTATGTAAACAAAGGTTCAAATCGAACTCGATAACGTTTACATTAACGGGTCATACCATTATGATATAATGGGTTGTGCAAGTAATTCAGTTATTTCACTTTGCATTTTTTTGATATATAGAAGATGGATACGTACAACTGATCGAGCAGCGTAGTGGTTAGAGAGTTCTGATTATGAAGAGAAAGTTGGATGATGTATTCCATTATTCATTTAGTGTTAAGTGTCTTGTTCAAAGAAAATAACGGCTTGCCCCTAACTGGCTTTGTGCCAACACGGCGAGCGATACATAGATGACTAGTCCGACGCGCTAACCACGCGCCATAATAATACTTTAATTTATTTATTATATAAATATACATGCATAATGAGTACTATAATATAGTAATGTTATAAGATATTTATTTCGTGTACAAGTTTTTTATTTTTCAAAATATGTTAGAGAATAATATTGACCGTTATAAAATAAGATTCTATTCTAAATATTGGCATCATTGTAACAAAATGTATTTTTACCATAATTCATGCGGTGTTGAGGTATAACTATTATGCGATACAGACAGAAAATGGGTGCAAAACCTTAATAATTTTAATAAGAAAGCAAAGGTACTTGTACATTTATTCTGCTTGAATATCTTAATATATACAACACCATAAGAATGAAGTGTTGAAGTACAGCAATAGTAAGAACGATAATTGATAAACATGTGATGCATGATAATAATTTTAAACAATTACATAACAAGCAACATACAACATATACAAATGTTAAAACAAATCAATGTTTTTAAAAATTACAAGTTCACATATTTGAACTTTAACAAATAAAGCGTTAAAATGACAACATGGAAACATTTAATACATTTTTACCCGAATAACGACTAATTTACACTTGTGCTAGCAATCGGAATCCGGACCATTCAACCTTTCAGTTTCATCCAAAATCATTTAGGGTATTGACCATAACCCCATGCTATAATCATGAGTTATTGTTAATCAATGTGTAAGCAAAAGTTATTTTTGTAAAGTCAGTAAAGGATGATTATCTGACTTATACTCATGGTTGGGACGGGGAGAATAAATTGGATGGGACCCGAAAAAAAGTTTTTAAAACTTCATAAAGGACCATTCATATTTTGTTACAGAAATTGTACACCATATATTAGTCTGCGTTCCACTCCGCATTCTTATGTGCTTCTGTTCGGCTGATCGATATTATCAAAAACACGAACAAGTATGAATAACGCGTATGTATGTAATGAATAAGCAAAAATATCAACGCCTGAATCCCAGGCGTACCATACATAAAACAAGTTTACGTCGCTACGTTCACAAAAAATGATAAAAGATCTCTCAAAGTGATCCTTTGCTTATATATCTTTTAAATAACAAAAACTTCAGAAAAATTATAAAATAAAGAAAAAAAAGTGATCTCGAAGTGATTTTTTCTTTTTATTTATCCTTTAAATAACAAGAATTGTCTTTAAAACTTCATAAAATGCCGTTTTATTGTTAAAATAACATTTCTATAACATTAAAATTTTGGCCGTCAGGCCGCTGGGCTGCCAGGCCGCCAACTTCACAAAAATGAGAAAATAAAAAAGTTCTCTGAAAGTGATTTTTTTCTTTTGATATATCCTTTTAAATAACACTTATTATCTTTAAACTTCATTAAATGACGTTTTATTGTTAAAATAACATTTCTACAACATTAAAAACTTTTGGCCGTCAGGCCGCTGGGCTGCCAGGCCGCCATTTCACAAAAAATGAGTAAATAAAAAAGTTCTCTGAAAGTGATTTTTTCTTTTGAATTATCCTTTAATGACACTAATTATCTTTAAAACTTCATTAAATGCCGTTTTATTGTTAAAATAACATTTCTACAACATTAAAATTTTTGGGCCGTCAGGCCGCTGGGCTGCCAGGCCGCCAACTTCACAAAAATGAGAAAATAAAAAAGTTCTCTGAAAGTGATTTTTTCTTTTTATATATCGTTTAAATAACAATAATTATCTTTAAAACTTCATTAAATGCCGTTTTATTGTAAAAAAAAACATTTTTACAACATTAAAATTTTTGGCCGCTAGACCGCCAGGCCGCTGGGCCACCAACTTCACAAAAATGACAAAATTAAAAAAATCTTTGAAAGTGATTTTTTCTTTAGATATATCGTTTAAATAACAATAATTATCTTTAAAACTTCATTAAATACCGTTTTATTGTTAAAAAAACATTTTTACAACATTAAAATTTTTGGCCGCCAGGCCGCTGGGCCGCCAACTTCACAAAAATGACAAAATGAAAAAATCTCTGAAAGTGATTTTTTCTTTAGATATATTGTTTAAATAACAATAATTATCTTTAAAACTTCATTAAATGCCGTTTTATTGTTAAAAAAAACATTTTTACAACATTAAAATTTTTGACCGCTAGGGCGCCAGGCCGCTGGGCCGCCAACTTCACAAAAATGACAAAATGAAAAAAATCACTGAAAGTGATTTTTTCTTTAGATATATCGTTTAAATAACAATAATTATCTTTAAAACTTCATTAAATGCCGTTTTATTGTTAAAAAAACATTTTTACAACATTAAAATTTTTGGCCATTAGGCCGCCAGGCCGCTGGGCCGCCAACTTCACAAAAATGACAAAATTAAAAAATCTCTGAAAGTGATTTTTTTCTTTAGATATATCGTTTAAATAACAATAATTATCTTTAAAACTTCATTAAATGCCGTTTTATTGTTAAAAAAAAACAACATTTTTTACAACATTAAAATTTTTTGGCCGCTAGGCCGCCAGGCCGCTGGGCCGCCAACTTCACAAAAATGACAAAATTAAAAAAATATCTGAAAGTGATTTTTTCTTTAGATATATCGTTTAAATAACAATAATTATCTTTAAAACTTCATTAAATGCCGTTTTATTGTTAAAAAAAAACATTTTTTTCAACATTAAAATTTTTTGGCCGCTAGGCCGCCAGGCCGCTGGGCCGCCAACTTCACAAAAATGACAAAATTAAAAAAATCTCTGAAAGTGATTTTTTTCTTTAGATATATCGTTTAAATAACAATAATTATCTTTAAAACTTCATTAAATGCCGTCTTATTGTCAAAAAAACATTTTTACAACATTAAAATTTTTGGCCGCTAGGCCGCCAGGCCGCTGGGCCGCCAACTTCACGCCGCCAGGCCGCTAGGCCGCCAGGCTGCCAACTTCACGCCTCCAGGCCGCCAGGTCGCTAGGCCGCCAACTTCACACATCTTATATTTTTGCCAAATAAAACAGTGTAAAAAATGGATAAGGTGAGATGAGGTACTTTTGGTTTTGGTATACCCAGAAAGAGATCCTGTATATTACCGTTCTATTAATTTGTCATATTAAACACTGTACATGTATATCAAATATCTCAGCTTTAATGAGGTAGTTTTTATATGATGAACTGTCTTTTACTGCTCCTCCCTCGGCGTCTGTTTTGGCGGTATTTGGGCCTTATGGAGCCTCGTCTAATATACCCATCTGTTCCAATAACATCTTTGACTGTCCTGAAAAAACAATATAATCTGTTACAAAAAGGCAATCTTTTTTCAAATCATGCTTAGCTCTTTTGTATAATAGAAATTCTAAAAAATGTGTACTTCAAAAAAACTGGTTAACAAGGTATGATTTGATTATCTGAAACATTTTCAAAAAAATATGTAACTTAGGTTTTAGTTTGACTCCAAATTCCTTTGCCTCTACGTTACGATTAATGCTTACAATTTTGATAATTTCATTTCAAAGGTCTAGCGTATAGTATACAAGTATACAGTACAGATTCTTTTTTTAAATTAAATATTATACAAAATGTATAACACTTTAAGCAATCAAAACGAGTCGATGGAAAAGCCATATTTCGACGCATACAAACTGACAGATAATAGATGAACATACAAAACAACGACTGTTAAAAAAGTAATAGATGTACTAACCAAATTATTAGAATTTAAGTAATTAGCATGCAGATATAAATGGACCTTTGCTTCTTGCATACTTCAGCATAATGTATTTAGGCACAGACATGACGTTTGGCATATAGTTTAAAATGTTTCTTATCTTTTATATCAAAAGCTTGATAGGAAATTATTTTATTAACAGGGCATTGTTAGAATATCTGGAAAAAGCTATTCCTCGGAAGCATCAAAACCAGCAAAATTACATGCAAATTCCAGACTCGATTTGATTTAGTCTGTATATGATAGATAAGGGAAAGGTGCAACATCACTTACGCCCCTTAGCACCGAGTTAAGTGGTACTTAATTCTCAACAGTTAAAAGTGCTGGAATCAATGATCCCGAATACCAGAAGAATATAACAACACTGAAGTGAAGTAGGGGGCAACTTTTAAGGGCTGCCACGCGGCACTTAGCACCTGCTGTTGTGATGTATAGATATCTTGAATCATTTTTACGGAAGAAGTAATACATTCTAAAACTATCTAAACATTCCTGTAATTAAACTTTAGCAAATAAAGAATTGAAAATTATAGAAAAAATATTATAGTGCACTTCTTTTTGGTACATTCTACTATGAAAGTTAAGCATTCATTTATGGAAAGATGTTTAATTTTTCTTTGCCTTTGTTTTGTGCCATTTAAAACATTTTTGTTGTTTTTGTTTGTTTGATTTTTTTTTGTTTTTTGATCAAAAAACAATGTGTATTGCAATGAGGAATATTACATTTGATATAATGAATTAGCGATGTTTTGTACTCTCGTTTGTTGTTGGCCTTTTCTTTTTTTTTTTTTAAATTGATTACGTAATGAGGTAGATTTGATATAAAGACTGGTGGCTTTTTCTGGTAATGAGTCACACTTGATATGACGAACTAGCGAAGAGAGATCTGTTGGTCTTCCAAACAAATCAATTTGATATATGATATCGATTATTTCTTTAATTTATTGTGTTATCATGATATAATTTTTGATCTAGTGAAAACGAAATTTAATATTTGTTTTAGTTGATTAGACTTCTAATATGTTATATTATCCAATATTTTGGACAAGTTTGTCTATCTTCTTTTTGTTTTGAAACATGCAAAGTTACATGGTTAAATAAAAGCAAAACACATATATGATAAAAAAGCTTTATTTTTTGGCACAGTAAAACATATTAATAAGCAAAATGGTCAAAATATATTATAAAAACAAATCAGTATGTAAAACTAAAATCTTTAAAAATCTTAAGTTAAAAAATGTTGACAAACAAATATGAAATATTTGCAGTTAACAAAAACTGAACAAAAATATATAAAATGTTATATTTTAAGAAATGATAAAAACACATTTCTTTTAAATAAAGTATAACAACACATTTCTTTTAAAAGAAAACAAATTAAAACATAAAATAGCATTTAAAGAAACTTCTAAATTTGACACTTTTCAATATTTTGATTTTTCATTTCACTGTATTAATATGATGATAATATCATTTTCGTTTGAAATAAGTTTGTACATTTATTATGCTGAATGTGGTGGTGTTCTCGGTAGTTTACCCTCCAGGTGACGACAGGGAGTCACATTGAATTAACAAGAGCACAGTTAATCCACCGCATCGTTCTTGGGCAAGCTGTCAAGCCATTTACCAGTACAATTTCCATTCCCTTTCGCAAGGAACTGATAACTTGTACATGCCAGAGCAGAGGTACAATGACCTTAGAAAGGATTTTATGATCACTCACAACGAAAGTGACATGCGCCGTCCAGGGAACTGAACCCGGGTCGCTCGATTCACAGACCTTCGCTCTACCTATTAAGCTAACCGGACGGATTACTATGTTGAAACTTATCAATTTATAATAAAATATACACAAATATTGAAAAAAAATCTTTAAGAATAATATACATTCATAGCTTAAAGTTCTATACTGTTTGCAGGAAAACTGCAAACGTTAAGAAAATAAGTAAATGTAGGATTTCTTAATTTCAGAGAAAAAGAAACCCATGGTGACTTTAATTTGATTTGTTACAAGTTATTTTTGTTAAAGGGAAGTAATAATGGTAAATATACCAATTTAACATGCAAATGTGTTATTTGAGTAATGTCCCTTTTAGATTAACAGTAACAGTTCTTTAAATGGTAAAATTCACATAACAGACGTAAAAAGCATGTTATCAAAAACAAAAACTACCAAGATCTCTTAAGATGCCTTGCCGAGGATACTCTTAATTTTTGGGAAATATTAAAACATGAGTTTTCAATTATCATCCAGTCAAAGTGCAGAAGGAAGATATAAATTTTAAGAATAAATTCCATCATGCTCCTTTTTTCGAGTCTAAATGTTCTAAAATTTTATCACTCGTTCAATTCCGAAATGTTTTCATTTATGTACTTAGAGGTTTCCAAGTTTTCATTTTTTCGGTGAAAGATGTATTTGGAATTTTGAGAGAAGCCTTTTCAGCTTTGTGGGCCAAATCGTCGTTCATTTTCTCGGCAAGTACCTTTTCTCCACCTTGTTCATTCAACATTAGTTTCATTTGCTCTACACTACGTTTAAAAGCTGGATTTCCGGACATCTTCTTTGCCATAAGTCGGGACAGCTTGATTCTTACACGACCTATCTCCGTATCTTCTATGTCAACATCGCCTTCTTGAGCAGCATAAAATTTACTCATCTTTTTTCTGTGCTCTGTCTGGGCGGCCATTAGCTCTCTGTGAAAACAGATTGTTGGGAAATTTTCTATCAAAAAATTTAAATTTCTGGAAATTTATACAGTTAAAAATGACATTATGCCCCTCAAGTGTTTTTAATATAAATGAAAAGAACCGGGGCCCGGGCAAAAATTTGATTTATTTTTTACATGATTTTTTTCAATTTTATTAATTTTTCTTTTGCCAAAAAAACTGAGGGGAATGAATATTTTGTAAATTTCCTTTTTGAAAATTTTCCCGTAAAAGTTCAAAATTTTAAAAAGAGTTTGGAAATTTTTTTTTAAATTTTTTTTGTAAAACTTTTTTTATAACGAAAAACTTTTTTATAAAACAAAATGTTTTGGGCAACCACCATTATAAAGGTTTAATTCTTTTGCCCCAAAATTTTCGCCCGGGCCCGACAACTTTAACTTTAAAATTTTAACCAAAAAAAAAATTTACCATAAAAGTATTTAATTTTAAAAATTTTAAAGAATACTTTTTAGTCTTATTTTTAGAAAGTTTTAGATGCCTATTAGTGTATTGTTTCAAACACACAATGGCACCTGTGAAGTACTGCCAACCGTCTGCAAGCTAGAAATTACGTCGATCTTTTCGTTGGGGGTTCGGACAAGAAATTCGAACTCATTGCGTTAGGGACAAGTGACTTTAAAATCAGAAGACAAAAATCATCAAAGTGCGAATGTGCGAATATATCTACTTTTCAGTCGTACAAACTTATTTAAGAAATTCCACTTGTGTCCAAAGATCTAAAGTTGTTGTTGTTGTTGTTTTTTTTTTTTTTTTTAAAAATTTTTTAGATAGATTAACAGAAGATATGCAACAAAATTTAAAAAACAAAATAATTTTGAAAATTTTTCTTTTTTCCCGATTTTTAGTAAAACGTTGCAAAGCTTTCTTTTTCCCAATTTTGAGTATTTTTTTTAAAGAAAAGAAATTTGTTATTCACGAAAACCTTTTTCCAGTCCAATCATATTGAAAAAAGTCCAGTTGAGACCCTTTGATAGACAAGTTTGGGTTATAAAGAATGTTACAATCAGTGACATTATGCTCATTTTTATCACCGTCAAGTTAAGTTGAATATAGAATCTATATTAAAAGATTGACTATTAAAATGATGATTGACCAACAGTTGATATTAAAAAAGTGTAGGTTAGATATAAATCTGTCCCACTCTTTTTTATAAATTGAACGTAACAGGTAAATTCCGAAGTATATTTATAGAAATTTCCTGGGCCCATGTGAATTATTTATCGTTTATGCGAAGTAAAATATAGAATTTAAAGGAAAAATGTCAAAATGTAAATTTTGCTTGACTTTCACATTTTCACCACTCACTATTTACGCTTTGATAGACATAATGTTGCTTGAAAGTTAATTACGTATGTCTTCAATACTAATAAATAAAGTAGTACTTTATTAATGTACATCAAGTTATAGACGAATTTAAACGATGGACAATTGCATGCAAGTAAAATTACATACTAAGCAGATTAACGAGGTCAAGTGTTTCATATTAAAAAGTTTATGTAAAGAACTTAATCAGTTTGTTTATGAAAACCTACCCAAAGTCAATCTCGCCGTCTCCATCTACGTCCAACTTATTTATAAGCATCTCTATACATTTATCACTTAACGGAATGTTAACCATCTGTAAATGATACAAGTCGTTTGAAATATTACAGTTTGTACTCTTAATAGAACATTGTATACTAATATTTATTAATCCATGCACAATTACATACAATTCGGCATGAAAGATAAACATTACATTGTACAAAGCCATTCTTTGAGTAGAATTACAAGAGATTTAAGATATTTTACATATATTACAATTAAAACCATAGTCTGTTATATTACGGGCATATATATGTGTATATATAAATCTGCCAATAACAATACCCTTAATAAAAGAATATTATTGAAAGGTAAAAAATATAGATTCCCAAAATTATCATTTTTATAGTAAGATTAATATTTGTCAAAAGGCTATCTTTTGATTTGGAGTGGACCAATTAGCAAAATTATTACATAATTACAGTCTTTTAGATTTCCATATCTGTACATTTTGCTAAGATTAATTCTTTACATATTCGTTAGACAAAATTTCTCTATATAAAACGAAATTTGGCATTCCCAAGAAAATAAAAAGCAACGTTCTTTTGAGTTACTGTAAAAACGTCACATTTCAGTAAACTAAAACGTAAGCTCTATACGAGAATCCCAGACTAATTTAAACAATTTGATGAAATTAACTAAAGATGTTTCAAAAAGACATGTGTGACAAAGGTTTATGCTTTCTTGGTCTGCGCATTGCCTTTGATTTTTGGTCTTGATTAGGGTCTCGAATTTATGGAACTCTTTTATATTTTTTAAACTTTAGAAAAAAAATTAAAAAGCTTAAACTGTTTATGTAAGTCAAAATCAACCAGTTACAGTCTGTAAGTATTTGTAAAAATCAAACCATAGACATTTTAAACGGACGTTATCAACAGACGTAAAAGTAGGACATACCCTTAGTCCGGTCCTTATTTCGTCATGGTCCAGTGATTTGCTGCCGTCCTTATCTAATGCTGCAAATAAATCCATGAGGCGAAATCCCATAAGTTTACCGAATTCCATGAGGACAATAATAGGATTCTCATCCATGAGTTGTTTCTCGTCATCATCATCTCCACGTGTGTCTTGACCTTTGACCTAATTAATAAAATTTGCATATTTATAAAACATCAAAATACAAAGTAAACTTAATCAAGATATCCATTTCCGAGAACAATTCGTATTTAAACGAATTGAGTTTATTATCAATAGTTAGGAAAACAAAATATATAGATAAACAACGTAATTCAGTTGTTTATCCTTTTTTATTTTGCATTGTTTTTGTACCTGAATTCTTAATTGTTGAAATCATTCTTTTCTAAACTGTGTTTCATGTAAACCTTTTTTCTCGTGCTATCATTCCACAAATGCCGATCATATAAACACATTAAGCGAAATAGATTAAATAATTTAAAAACTGATATAACACACTTGCACCTTGCTTCTTTTGTATTCATGAACAAAAACGTTATGCATTTCATAAACAATTGAAAAATATTCAATTTATAAATCTAACTTTGTCATACCTGTCCAAAAATAACTTTAACTTCTCGTTTGGCTTCTAGTTCCCCAAGTAAGGCAACAAACGCTGGTTCTACCAGTTGATCCTGAAACGACATATATTTTATCGTCTGCAACAAACCAGTTCAAATAGGTACATTGAAGGTCGGATTTATATACGCAGATTTTTGATTCTGTTTCACTCTTATGCACTTTAGCACCCTTTTCATAGGGTTTTTAATTGTGGTTTAAAAGCATTGAGGGTTTTGTAATATATAGGGACGCTGCCTATAACTGAACTGTTCTGAATGGAAGTAAACATAATCCTTATCAAGTTCTGCAAAATTAATGAAAGGAGGTGTTGCAATTATTTCTGCTTGACTGCCAAAGATAGAGACAAATAATACTGATTATAGATCAGTTTGTATATCAATGAAACTGTGACCATCTTTCATTAATAGATTATTGGATACCGTGAGATGGCAGCAATGGCCAAATGGTTAACGCGTCAGACTAGTAATCTAATGATCGCTAGCCGTGTGGGTTTTAACCCCGTCAGAGGCAAGTTGCTGTTTCCTTGAGCAAGAAACTTTACACTCAACACTCACAACTGGTTGGTTCCAGGAACGGATTCGAAAGTGTATCTATACGCATATAGCTTCCTACACTACCGAACTATAATAAATTCTGTATAAACCAAATACCGTAAGATCTAGTTCCTTGATACCAGAGGCTTTGTTGTCCCTTAGGAACTCTAGCATCATCATGGCACCGGCTGGAGTTATAGGGTTCCACCCTAGCTGCAAAGATTAAAGTCATTTATATTTTAAAAAGATGTATCCCATACTGTAAGAATGTTTATGAAGAGTTCATGTCATAACTTAAAACTCATTATCAGTAACTTTTTTAGACAACTGGCAGATTTTTAAAGCAATGAACATATACTAGAATTTGTGTAAATTTCGCTAAAAGCATCGTGAAGCATTCTTTGTATCTAACATGAACAATAGTGTGTCTGTATTTTTGCTTATGCACTATATCAATATAGTCAAAAACTTAGATATGACCATCCCAAACTTAGAAAAAATTAAATAAAAACCATTTTTAAATTTTGGGAATTTTCCCTTTATGAATCAAAGTTTTCCCAATATATATTTTTTAAAAATTTAAAATTTCAAGAAACGTAAAAGGAAAAAACCCGCAAATTTCAATTTTTAAAAAGGCATTTTATCCCGGGAAAACGAAAAATTTTTACATTTTTTGGGAAAAGGGGCCCAAACTTTGAGTTTTAACTTTAAAATAATATTTTTAGAGCATTTTAATATGCTAATCACCTGAAAAATAGTGTTTAAATATAAATTCCCCCTGTTTTAAAAAAATTTAGAACATTTTTTAAAAGTAGACAGTAAATAACTTAAATAATACTAATAATTTGCTTAGTAGCTTTAAAAAAATTATTTTTGAACTAGACTAATCCTTTTATTTTGACTTACTTAATCTTTATGTTTATTTATCTATATTATTTGGCAATATACCATGCAAATTATCAAATCATTAATCATATTAGATCAGTAAGGTCATGGGAATTTTAAACAACGTTCAGACACTATTAACTATAAACAATATTCGTACATGTTGATAGATTAGTGTCAATAAGCGTGCAATTCACAGTATTTTTTGTATAGATATTGACACTTTTGATTGAGTTTAAAATGCATTACGAAATGCAATATCGATACATTTTAATCTAATGCATCACACATAAAGCGCTAAACTTTGAATTGTTGCGGTTTAATGAAAGTTAAATCGTATTTAGTGTCAGTACTTACACGAATTATTTCTAACGTTGTATTTCTTCTTAATCCACCGATTAATTTTTCAAGACATTCCTTGCTTATTCTATTGCACGTGAGATCAAGTTCTGTCAGCGTCTTGTTTATTTCAAGCGCCTTTGCTAACGCTCGACATCCGTCCAAATAAAATCCGTTCCAGGCAAGATTTAACTTCTTCAAGCAAATGTTTTCCTGAAAAAAAGGTAACATTAGACAGTTATACAGTATGTAATAATGCTTTGAATTTCGAAATTTTGAGGTAATTTCATTTTTTGAATAACCAGTGAGATTCGCCGATTTCAGTTTGTAATTTTAAAATGACCAATGAAAATTCTTCTTATATTCAGTCCTTCCCTGTTAATTATACAGGAAGTCAATCTCATTTTAGACGGACTTCGTCCGAAAATGTATTGAACCTATTACCCCGAGTCCTTCAGCTACAAAGCAAGCACCGTCTCTGCGTAGATGATTCCAGCTGAGGTCGAGGGATTCCATCGTATCGTTATAAAGAAGGGCTTCCCCTATGACCTCACCTCCGCATTCTCTTAACTGGTTGTGAGATAAATCTAAATGCTGGAGATGTATTGTATTCTGAAATATAAATAGTGGGTCTAAAGAAAGTGTTGGGGCACCTAATTAATACCGTATTCCGGACAAGGCGCATGGATGGTTAAATGCTAAAAATACGCATTTCAGCCGCCAAAATGCATATTTAGACATCTAATTCACCTCTTCACGTCGATTGATATACGATAATGAATGAAAAATGTAAGAATGGGCGAACAAAGCGACATTTTTCTACTTTGTGATCATGATTTCTGCAAGCGTCTAGAGATACTGCTCCAACACTGTAGTGAGTTTAATCCGTAAAATGAATATTAGTGAAATGAATTATTATATAGTAACTAACCATCCTTTTGTTCGCATATCTAATGTACAGATTAAAATCGTTCCATCATGCAATAAATGATGAATTTCAAGCGAAGCGGTCGTCTAGTGGTTAAGGGGTCTGTCTCTTAACTCAGGAATCGTAGGTTCGAGCCCTATTGGGGTCACGAACATGTTTCCCCATAGTGGACAAGTGGATAGTTAAAATGTTAGTGATCAATGTACTTTCTGTTCAATTATGTTTATATAAACATTTTTTTCATTATTTATACAAACATATTTTAAATTGAGTAAAAAATCCATTTCTAAATTTTGATATTACATAGATACTTCATAATGTAGGGAGTTTTATTTTCTCTACAAATACTTCGTCTCTACTCGAAGCACAGTCATTTCTTCCCATTATTTTTATATTATTTCGATTCTATTCACAATTGGTCTCATGTACGGAATGAGAAATGTTCATATAACTTAAATGTACTTACTTCAATCAATGGCCGAATGACCTCAGAATCGCACTCCCGAAGCCCATTCCCTATAAAGATAAAAAGAAAAAGAAAAGAAAAAAAATGACCTTTTGAAGTTCCGAACTTCGGTGCCACCTCTGTCGCCAATGAAATTTATCAAAGAAAACATTGAGTATACCTTAAATCCTTTATTTTGTTTATGAACTGTAAAAAGAACAATATTCAAGTGTTAAACGGATTTTCTTAAGCACTAAATATTTATATTTACAGGAGAGAATCTTAACAATACGAACATGTAGTGTTGACAGAAACTTTGACATAAAAAGAGAAGTCGATAGCACCTTTGGTATGCAATTAAAGGATTTGCTGTCGGACATTCAAATGACGTTGATAATTAACGTAAATATAGTTTCAATTTGAATGTTACGCGTATCAGAGCAAGGTCGTGGATAAAAAAATATAAATAACAATTTGCTGATAGATTCAAATAAATAACTTTATTTGTGTTCAAAGGCCTCAGGCCCAAAATACATAGCATACATACAACAATATAGTAATATGGTTGCGTCACCTTAACAATGTTTATTAATGCGTAAAAAGACTAGTTGTTTATGTTATCCATTAAAACATATACATAAAACATAAGCTTCCTTAATGTGATTATATCACGTGTACCTATTAATACATAAAAATCATGTAGTTCTTTTCCGCCAAAATACCAATTGAATAAATACTTATCACGGATTTGTTTGTATTTTTTTACATATAAAGAAAGCATGGAATTAACAATCTATACTATCATTACAAGTTGTACACAAACGTTCTTCCCTTGGGATATTATTATGTCTGCCTATTTCTATACCTAATTTATGGTTGGAGCAACGAAAATTACAAAACGCCTTTTTATGTTTAAATGGTATTTCTATTAATAAGTATCGTTCAACATTTAAAAGTGATTTAAATTATTATAGTGAAAACATCTACTAGAATTCGTTATATTTTCATACCATTGTTGAGTACAACAATCAATAAGTCTTTGTTTTGAAAAGTTTAAGAACATATTCGTGTCACCAATTTCTTGAGATATCCAGACAAAACCAAAACCATATCTAAACAGTACATGTTTAACTTTGGTAACCCAACATATTTGACCTACATCGTCTAGTGACTTCAACATAAAATAACACTGTTTAGGATATCTAGATGAAGGCATGGTCAGAAGTTTACAAAAATATCGTATGCAGTTTGTCATGTACGAAATACTTAAGGGCAATCTACCACATTCCCCTAAAACCATAGCTGTATTTGTAGTTTTTTTAACAGATAAATGTTTTCGACAAAAATCATTATGCACATATTCAATAGTTTGGCTATATTCAAAACCCCATATTTGTGATCCATAGCATAAAATTGGTTTAATCATATGATCAAAAATTTTAAACAATTCATTACTTGGAAAATGACCGAAAGGTTTCTGATAATATTTTAACGATAATATTGCCTTTTGGGCTTGAGATGCCATTTTTTCCTTAGCGTGAGTCCATGATAATTGAGGAGTGAAAATGAGTCCCATATATTTATACATAGATGTTATATTTAAGCTTTTACCTCGGAAATACCATTTCTCATAATTACGTAAAGGACCACCATTACGGAAAACAATTACTTCTGTTTTATCAAGATTAATTTCCATTCCAGTATTATAACAAAAAGTGTCAATAACATTTAATTGTTGTTGTAATTTAGATACAGTCTCTGCACAGTTCGCTACATCATCGGCAAACATAAGACATAATATATCCGGTATATCATTAGTAATAAATATTCCTGTGCCACAGTTTTGTCTAAGTAAGATAGACAACTCATTGATAAAAAGAATAAAAATAGTCGAACTAGATTTATCTCCCTGTCTAAATATATACGTCATTATACAATGATTTAGCATTTACGACCGTATGGAATATAGCATTATTTAAAGAAACAATCTGTTCGGTCGAAGAATCGGGGTTCGTATTGACGAAATGTATCACAAGTCAAGTTATTTTTACAATAACTCATGTATCGCGCAGATTAATGTAAATCTTTTTCTTGACAACCCCTTGCTTTTTACGGTGCAAAGGGTAATAAAGCAAAAAACAAACATTGTGATGAATTTGACTATAAATCATACATGGATGGAATATCTACATTGATTTGAAATCCGTATCTAGTTTCTATATAAAAAAGCGTCTAGTTTCTATATAAAAAGCGTCTAGTTTCTATATAAAAAGCGTCTAGTTTCTATATAGAAAGCGTCTAAAGCGTCTAGTTTCTATATAGAAA